TGTGTGTGTGTGTGTGTGTGTGTGTGTGTGTGTGTGTGTCGTCGTGTCGTGTGTCGTGTCGTCGGCGTGTGTCGTGTAGTGTGTGTGTGTAGTAGTAGTAAGAGAGAGAGAGAGAGAGAGAGAGAGAGTGAGAAAGAGAGAGTGAGAGAGAGAGAGACTAGCCAACCAGACAGTATTACCTGCTGGTAACAGGAAACATTCGCAGACGTTCATATACTGTAATCCATCGCAGCCGAGATTTCACTTCTTAAACTACTTCACGTCTACATCGGCGTGCTTCGTCCCGCCGTCCTGCGCCATGTTTCATCAATGCTGATGATTGATGCAGGGTCGAAGGACAGCCACCCACCTTCTGCGTGAAACCTACAGTCAGGCATGACAAGGAACGCAATCGCCTCGTCTTCACCTGCGGAATACTCGCCGACCCGAAGCCCGAGGTCACGTGGCTGCGCAACGACGTGCGTCTGACGGACGTCGGCCGCCACGGCGTCGTGCTGGACGCAGACGGTGAGCGCCGCCGTAATACGAGCCGGCCATGTTGCTCCCGCCGGCTTGTTTATTCGCGTAGGGGTGCATGGGGGCAGAGGGAATGGGGTGGGAGTAGATGGGACGGGGTGGGTGGATGGCGGGCGAATGTTTATTATGGTACGTAGTGGTAAAGCCAGTGCCATGGCGAACGTCTGTCACTGTAGGGGTCATAACTTCTTCACATATCACTGCACATAATATTAATTAACTATACGGATATTCATGAGTGTGATTTTTGTTATACCTGCAAATGAAATGCGTTCGCGACATAATGTAGGGACGGAAATACGAAAGTAAAAAAGGAACGTGTAAAGCCATATGTAACGCATTCACACTCCGCGCGCTGGAAATATTAATCTCGCAGTCGTTAATCCCGCGTAGTCGATTATACAAACCTGTCGTCGCGTTGCAGGCAAATCTCGCTACGATGCAACCTTGTCCGTGGACCGTGTCACGGTCGAAGATGCCGGAAGCTACAAGATCATCGCAAGAAATGTCCTCGGAGAGACAACGGGCACGATCACGATCAATCTGGATTGTAAGTTGTTTCGCCTGTGCGCGCGTGTTACCACACGTACATGCGCAACGCCATCGCATATCACGAAGTGTATCATTGGAAAAACATGCTATACTCTACAATTCACGATTGATACTATTTCGACAGATTGAGCTCCGTTTGAAAATTGCTATGGATTATATTGATATTACTTGGGAAAAGCTATTATTTCAATTCCTTCATATGATACCACTTTGCACGCATGATTAACAATATATCAATTCGTATATTCACAGCCACGGCAATGGCTCTTCCGAAGAAGGGTATCAAACCAACGTTCACCCACAAGCCGGTGATCCAGCAGTCGGAGGATGGCGATACCATCACGTTTGAGTGTCGTCTCAGCTCCGATCCTAAGTCAACCATTGCGTGGTATCATGGCGACAAGCAGATGAGGTGATTCGTCGCTCCTACCACGACTCTCGAAGTTACCCAATTGCCCGCATGTCTTCCCTTCTTTCTCTTTCTGGCTCCGTCCTCACCCTCCCTTCTCTCTCTTTCTTCTTTTCTTCCCTGTTTGTCTCCATCTCTCTCTCTCTCTCTCTCCTCCTCTCTCTCTCTCTCTCTCTCTCTCTCTCTCTCTCTCTCTCTCTCTCTCTCTCT